GGCGCGAGCGACGCGGGGACGAGGTGAGGCTGCTCCTGGAGGAAAGGCTGGGGGGATCAGAGCAGATCTGTGGGCACAGACCCCACCAGGACCACTGGATCAAGCAAAAGCCCTTTCCCTGCTCGCAGCGTTGGGTGTATCCTGTTCCATGGCATTTACTGCTGGTTTTCCACCTGCCAGGCAGGAGAGAAGAAACAGCTCGATGCAAGGAAGGGCTGTTGCACTCACAGACACCCAAATGGGGCAAAAAGCAGCAAAGGCAGCTGCAAGACATGGCAGCAGGACCCATGGGGCTAACGGGGGGCTCCAGCCCCACTTCCCTCCCATACTGGGAAAGTCCAGGCTCTGCAGAGAGGGAAGTTGCCCTGGACAGAAGCAGAACCAGCAGCGTGGGGAGCGCAGGGGGCCGAAAGAGGACGTGGCCGTCGGTTCCCGTTCTGATTTGCAGCCCAGCGATGCCAGGGATGCGCCCAGCCGCTTGCAAAGGCTTTGTCTGTCTTCCGTGCCGCAGCGTGAATCAGGGATGTGGCGCTCAGGGAAGGAGCTGGAGCCTGCCCGGTCGCAGGGGGGGACCCTGGTGGGTTAGTTTGGGTTAATCGCAGCAGAAAAATGAATTTGTTGCTTCCAACAGTGCCTGGAGCCAGCTCGGAGATCCCTGGCTCACACATTCCACTGCCGAAAGTCTGGGGAACGTGACGGTGTGGAAGGCAGAGCTGTGGCGACGGAGCAGCCCAGCACGTACCCGAGCCCGGACTAGATCAACCCCCATATCCTGCTCTGGACCCAAACTGCCTGAGTTAACTCCCCTTCTGCTGCACCCCGAGCAGAGGGCCCTGAACGAGCCCTGAATTTAGCATCACTTTTTTCTCTTCTTCATCATGCCTGCAGAAAGCCATAGGAGCTCTGGGGGTTCATCCGTCCGGATCCTTTTTTTTGTCTTCAACCTGTTTTTTTTACGAAAGCAGCAGCTCGTGAGCAGCCGCCTCTCCCCACCTGCCCGTGCGAACAGGATATGACGTGGCACTTCCCTCTCCTCGAGAAAGGAAACAGCAAGTGTTTGAGCCCAAAATCGTGTGATTCAGCCCGAAGTTGTGTGGCTACACTGCAGCAGCTCAGCCCGCTCTGGCACCCTGAAACAGCGAACAGAGAGCTGTTTCTGCTGCTGCCCGCTTGCTCCCATCAGGTACCTGGTGGCTGTCTCTGGGTTCGGGAAAGGACATCACAAGATTGGGGTTTTTTTCCTTAGCAATCAAGCCAGGCAGTCTGTTCCTGAACCAAATCATAGAATCACAGAATGGTTTGGGTTGGAAGGGACCTCAAAGATCATCCAGTTTCAACCCCCCTGCCATGGGCAGGGACACCTTCCCCTACGCCAGGTTGCCCAAAGCCCCATCCAACCTGGCCTGGAACACTGCCAGGTTTGGGGCAGCCACAGCTTCTCTGGGCAACCTGTGCCAGCGCCTCACCACCCTCAGAGGGAAGAATTTCTTCCCTATATCCAATATTAATCTCCCCTCTTCCAGTTTAAAGCCATTGTCCCATGTCCTGTCACTCCACACCCTTGTCCAAAGCCCCTCTCCAGCTTTCTTGGAGCCCCTTTAGGCACTGGAAGGTGCTGGAAGGTCTCCCCGGAGCCTTCTCTTCTCCAGGCTGAACAGCCCCAACTCTCTCAGCCTGGCTTCATAGGAATGCCCCAGGATAACTTAAAAGGGGCAAATCTCAGCCCATGAAGTTGTTTGTTTTGTTTTCACATCCCTCTTCTATCAGGATCTCATGGAAAATGTGTCTGGACAGAGACCTGCTCGCACAGACCCAGCCTTGGTTTGAGGCTTATTGTCTTTCTGGGTACAGAGCACAGCTGGCACCAGGAGTTCCACTGGGAATTCGCAGTTTTTGGTGTTTGATTGAATTCAATCGGCACAGGACAGGGAGAAACACGGAGGGATCTTCAGCCGAACAGCTGGAATTCCAGCAGCGATGCCGATACGGCGGCCGCAGGGGCCGTCAGATGATGGCTCTGACTCACTGCCCGGCGCGGGCACGCGCTCTGCCCGCCCGTCCGTCCGCTCGGCAGCTCGCCCAGAGATGTCACGGTGCGTTTTCTGAAAGATTGAACACCGAGGGATCTTTTTCCTAATATCTTTTGATATTAGGAAAAAATTTTTTACCATGAGAGTTGTAGAACACTGGAACAGGTTGCCCAGAGAGGTGGTGGATGCCCCATCCCTGGAGACGTTCAAGGCCAGGTTGGACGAGGCCCTGGGCAACCTGATCTAGTTGGAGATATCCCTGTTCCTTGCAGGGGGGTTGGACTAGATGACCTTTGAAGGTCCCTTCCAGCCCTGGCCATTCTATGATTCTATGATTCAAAACCTCTCGGTAACAGCATCTAATTGCTTCCTCGGACCGCTGAACATCTCATGGTGCTGCTCAGCAATTTTCTTCTTAACTGGCCGACTCCTCCGAGGGCGACGTGTTGCAAGGTGAGATTTGGGGCTTGAGGGTGATTTTGCCAAGGTTGCTACAGAGAAAAGAGAGGGCATCGTATTTTCTTGTCGTTGGACGACTAATTTGCCTGAAAATGCTCACACAGTTTGACAGGAAGCAAAAAGAGGGCTGCTGCTAAGTCAAAAACTGTCAAAATAACACGAGAGCTAAAAATAGCACATTTTGCTGGATAAACAGAAGGATTCTGCTCTCCTAACCCCACACGAGTCAGGAGAAACGGCTGAAATGAAGCAACGATTTACGCTAAGTGGAATTCCAACAGTTTTTCACATTCCCAATGAAATCTTTAGGGCAAAACGAGCTGATTTACGGAGTACAGCGGTGCCAACGCTTCCCTCATAGAATCATAGAATGGCCAGGGCTGGAAGGGACCCTCAAAGGTCATCCAGTCCAACCCCCCCGCAAGGAACAGGGATATCTCCAACTAGATCAGGTTGCTCAGGGCCTCGTCCAACCTGGCCTTGAACGTCTCCAGGGATGGAGCATCCACCACCTCTCTGGGCAACCTGTTCCAGTGTTCTACAACTCTCATGGTAAAAAATTTTTTCCTAATATCCAATCTGAATCTACCTCCCTCTATTTTAAAACCATTACCCCTTGTCCTATCATCTTTGATCAAGATGGATCTCATCACAGCTTCCTCTGCAAACCACCCTGGACACGTGTTTGTGTCCCTCGTGCAGGACACAGATGGTCCAATCCTGCCTCCACGCTCGGCTCATCCGCAGCCTTCACGTGTGTCTTTGCCACAACCAGGGCTGCTCTTAGGAAGATCCCTGAGGAAGGTGAGCTACAGGGCCAGGAACGGGGGAATCCGAGTTTAAAACAGAGCACAGAAAGGTTTGCAGCATCTCCCCCACTTGCCGACAGCGCCAAATAAAACTCCACTACGGATAATGGAACTTGTATTTATTTAACAGTAACATATAGTATATAAATAGGGTAAATACTTTAAAATATACAATATATCACATTCGGACGTTCGGTCGGAGGAAGGCAACTCTACATGTGCAGCTAAAACATGGATGAAAAAGCAGTGCACAGAGAAAGAAGCCGATGGAAGAAACGCTTCAGGTCTGGAGAACAGGAGCACACAAAGACCACAGTAGTACAAAATGCAACTCCGGGGCTGGTTACAGAGGGCAGGAACCACGGGAGCTTTCAAATGCTGCTTTTTTGTGACAAACACCTGTCCCCAGAAGGGTCTGGATGAGCCGTACGGATGCTTCACCCTCCTCCTAGTGTGCACAGCGGTCAGCAGGGGAAGGAAGAGATGTCGGGATCCCACTGCAACCGTGGTCAGGGGAACTCGTTGCACACATCAGACACAGGAACTGTACCTTGGGATATAAGATACCAGCATTTCACAGCCTGGTGCTAAGTGCTCCCTGATGCTACGGGATTTGCAGCTTCATGAGCCACTCAGGGTACCACAAACCCCTCCAGATCAGTGTCAGCAGACTTCTGAGCCCATCACCCCAAAGATTATCTAAACGACACATGCTGATCGACACAGGACACGACACCCTATGGAGAAACGAGGTTTTGATGTTTTGCTGAGCACTGCAGGCCGTGGTCTTGTTGTGCATCCGATCTGCAAACTAATTTGGGCTACAACCAGACTTGGAGAAGTGAATTCCTATCAGTGTGCCAAGTGCTCATCTGCATAGACTGAACCCAGCTGTGCCTGCTCAGACCATCCATCAAACCAGTGGCTGACCCACATCACTGAATCACCCACCAGCAAACGAATGTCGTGCAGGTTTAGAGCCACCTCACCAGGACAGACGGCTTCTCACGCTGTGAAAAGCAGCTTTTTAGCCACGTGCCATCCCTCTGC